ATATATATATATATATAAACTTCATCTGCTCTTTTCCGTTGAGTGCCGTAAGAAGATCAGCGGGTACGCGGCAAAGCAATAGTTTTTACATAATGGCTTCGGAGTAAAGCTTCTTTTGTTCCTGACGAGTAGGTTTAATGCTCACAGAGTACAACAGACACGAGACCATAATGTTACAAAAAGTTAGCGGTACAGTTGCAGTTATGTTGAAAGCCAAAAACACAATCGAGCAAAAATACCGACCATTACCAAAACCGTCCTCTTCCAGTTCATCAACATTACCGTTACCAAGGGACAGCTCTCCAAAGCAAGAGTAACATCTATAAGCAGACTAGATTGGATCCGATATGAATAGTTTGGAAATGTCCCCACTTCTCCTCGGTATCTTCAACAACGAAACCCAAAATGATAGCTTATACAAGAACTCTGTTATTTGGCCTCAACTAGCATCTTAACATTTTCAACGGAGCGATGAAGAACTGCTTTCATCCCGCTTGCCTAATCCAGACTGACCCAAAGGAAGATACATCACAGCGGTACATTCATCACTAGTCTGGCTTGCGGCTGATACACAGAGGTACACGCACACCTTACAAACCATGAACGAAAGGATAGACCACAGCTGTGAAAAAGTTGTTTTGTTGGCCAGCGTGGCTCTCACAGTAGGGGTGGTAATGAATTGGTAGAACGATGCTTATGAGAAAAAAAGACTAGGGCATTGTGTGAGGCAAGTTAAGGCTTACGGTTAACTTGTTGTCGAGCCGAGTAGAACGGCAACTGGAATTGGTTTGGATTGATAGACGCGGATGATGCTGTGGAGCTTGTTTCAGGACTGCATGCTAGGTTGCTCGAGAAGTTTCGCTGGGCCGAGAGACTGGCATGTCGTTCGCTCACTACATTGGTTTGGATTGATAGACGCGGATGATGCTGTGGAGCTTGTTTCAGGACTGCATGCTAGGTTGCTCGAGAAGTTTCGCTGGGCCGAGAGACTGGCATGTCGTTCGCTCACTACGTTTGAGTTGTTCGGAGGTTGCCAAATACCCGCATTCTGGTGAGGGGAGACACAGCGACCAACCCGACGTCCACGACCAACCACCATGGAATTCGGTGCGTTACCCACGGGACCAAAACCTGGCAGCAGATTCGATATTAAAGGAGTCGGTACTTGTGATGAACGTTTAGCAGCTTCGTTTGCACCTGAAAAAAGTACCGAAAGTGATGAGCCAGATGCGCTATCATTGTCCACGAGCAGTAGCGAAACGCCACTAACAAGCACGAAACAGTTATCATCAGCCTATAATCACAAGATGCAGGAGAATTTGAATATTTGTTATCGCCGTAGAGTAGGAGACTGTAACCTCCGGTTAGAAATGTACATAAGTGTGTTGAAATTGGGGGAAATGCTACAAGGGTACGAATGCAATTCGCATAGGTTCACACCAAACACAAGGCGAAAGAAGGTTGCGAAGTGCCAGCTGATATGTAATTAGTAGGATTGAGCCGAAACAAGCATACATCCGGTCAACAGACTGGTATTGCTCCTATTAAGCATTCAGCTCAAGATAGAGGGCGGAGGTGCATGAAAAGGTTGTCGGAACTAGACCTGGATTCTGTGACAACCGCGCAATTCCACGGCCTAGAGATTGGTACAAAGGAATTCAGACAGTGTTATCGAACCGAGTTATCGGTTCCGATAACATATGCTTTGTGAACCCGGCGGTATAAACAAACGCTAAGCACATCAACAGGAAGTGTCATCTGCCCATTTGGAAAAATTATAGTGACAAAGTTTCCGAAGACTGTTGAACGAGCTGCATGATGCTCTTGACACCAAGCTTTGCGATGACTACAGCAGACAGTTTTCAGTACAATAGCTAGACAGTAAATCACGATCTCCAGCCCCGCAGCCCGTTAGTGAATGAAGAAAAACAGTGACCGAGCAGCACCGTGAAATGAGGATGGCCACTATTGTATCGGTGAAAAGGCCTCAGTTTAAATCCCTGAGGTTCGGTCCATTTGCTAGAATAAGATAGGGAGTTGTGGTGACTGCAACAGACAAAGTTTATTGACCGCATCATTGTGATGTCTGTTAGTGTCGCAAATAGCTGAAAGCAATTTCTGACGTGACTAGTGATGACTTTGAAGCTTCGCTGTCAGATCATGATTTGATGGTTGATGTATCGTTTATATGCCGTAAATAGGCTAACTAGAAGAAACTAGGGGGTGGGTCGCTCTGACAGGTAAATGGTGGGACTAATTCACTGCGGACGGGTTGTGTATCGTAAAATTTATTTAAGGCAGCTAAGTAACATGAAACAGCACTTTCACCAAGAATAATAATCAAAATTGAACCTTTCTTAGTAGCAGCTGTCTTTATGCCCCAGTCCAGGGATACAGAAGCTGCGTTGGAATCTGTCCCATTTAAACGTGGGTTACCTGACATTTCTGTTCCTGTGCCTAATGTGGTTTGCATAACAACCAGAAGATGGGGATAGACAATCCCCGAATTTGATGCGGAACGAATCGAGCATTATGCCCAAGGAATGCAATCACGAACTATTGAGCGACATAGTCCGCTCTTCAACCCAGTTAGCTTAGCGAAACGATTTGGCCGCGGTGCTTGGTGTCCGTAACTTCATGAAGCAAATTCACCAGACAGACCCGCTCCCCATATAGGCTAACGATTTTCTCGATCCATATACTGTATTGAAGCACGAAAGTTTGCTGAGCTAATTAAAAAGAAACAGTCATTATTGATCGGAAAGCATGCGTTGAATGTCCGGAATCTGGTCCGTTCTGCGAACTACAGATATACAAAAAGTGGATCCGGAGGAAAGTGGACACGAAACCTGTCCAGGATGAAGGCGTTCCATTTGAAACGATGAAAAAGAGATCAGTCAGGGTTGAACAGGACTTTTTCCACAAATATTTTTGTAGAGTATCGGACCAAGTATGCAGGTATGACGGATACTGAAGCGAATGCACGCCTACATACAGGTGTTCGTGGCCAAACCTCACGTGCAGGGAAACGAACTGCGTGAGTGAATCAAGTACACCGGGACACCAGTAAATAAACCGTTCCCGCGAGTGGGTTGAAATGAGTTCAACTATAAACGATGTGACCCTATATGAAGAACCTGCCTTCACGACTAGTCCATTGGTTCATGTTCGAGAACAACCAGTGTCCAGAAACTCGGGTGGTTTCTGAGTAGGCTGAATAGATGAACACATTCAAGCATCTATCCAGTTTGAATCAATCCCAATATCTGAACAGAATTTTCCGGATATATGCTAATTAGAAATTAATTAGATCGACTGGAACCCCGAAATCTACATGTTCGCCAGAGACTTGGTACCGAGTGAATTCGCAGTGTGAAGCGCAAGGGGACAGTTGAAACGATCGCGAGTTTCATTTCCACAGAATGGGAATACGATGGTGGAGTGTGCGCTGATCGACGGATGACAGCAAAATACTTATCACAGCACGGCATTGCACAATAACCGTGTACGGGTCTACAGTGGTACAACCAGTTTGGAGCAACAACCCAGCATCGAACATCAGGGACAATTACCGTGAATTCCGAAATTCAAAGCGTTTTTTGCATACATAGCAGGGAATGCTCAAAACCAGATACCTCAACCATATCGAACTCGTAAACAGAGTGAAGTGTATAGTTAGATCGTTTCTGACTTCCTCACAAGCAGTCAGGAGGCATCCCAATTAAACAGGACCTTTGCCGTGCGAACAGATGTGGCCGGTAACCATACCATGTGGCGTAAGACATGTCACCCAATCGGTTTCGTAAAATGTAGACGAGCGGTGGCCGAGTCAAACTGACTGGCTCTTACCAAACGGTAGCTTATGATTTCACCATCGAAATGAAGAAAAAATAACCTAACTCATTGCGAACTCCCCATCACAGAAAAGCAGAGCACCTCAACGACAAAAGGCCAACTGTCGTTTATCAGCTACACCAACACAGACTGAATGGAACAACAGTGGTGAAATGGACAGAACGGAAAACAGATCGGCAATACACCAATAAAAATCAGCTGGAATGGCGGACACCCCATGCCTATATTATATGTAGTGTGTGATGTGCTCATTGGTAGAAACAAGTACCACAAACCCCATACAAAAAATGTCCATCCGAGGGAAAGACACACCTTGGCTTCCTTCTCCCTGTACAAACGACAAAAGATAGCTAGTTCTTTCGAAAAGTTGTCCAGAAGGATTTGTCTGGGCCACTGCCTGCGGATACCCGACAACAGGATGCATTCTGCCAGAGGGTGCACTACCGAAGGACCGGGGAACATTGGCCGGTACTCCATCCGTTGACGCACCAGACGGAGACAGAGACTTTGAACTCAAGGAGAGATGGGCTTGTAATTTTGCAAGAAAATCACGACCTGTGGAAAGCTCGGAGTCGCAATGAGCAAAGGCACAGAAAGGACCACGCGGGCAGTAACCAGAATTGATGACGTCGTTGCACTTGGTTGATTTATAAATCTGCGGAGGATAGAAAGGGCAGCCAAACGTTTAGAAAACTCAATGAAAATATTCTTTCTTGCCTCCCGGCTATGGTATACGAGTACGGAAATTGGTTGACGATCTATTGGTCTTACACATAGAAACGCTTGCTTTCGTTCGTTGGCTTGTTCGCTGAGCTGGGCAATTTGGTTGCAAACGTTTCATTCATCATCGAGGTGACATCATCAGTGCCTATTTGTGCGTAGCGGTGGGTTGGTGGTTGTGCCACAACGGTTGTGCACACCAACTAACCCACCGACAACAACTAACCCACCGCTACGCACAACTACGCACTGATGATGTCACCTCGATTGGTGATGAAACGTTTGCAACCAAATTGCCCAGCTCAGCGAACAAGCCAACGACCATCTACGCTACCTGAGCTACCGATATTCTGCTTGCTTTTGTTCTTAATTAGGAAGCACTCAGAGCTCATCAGTGAGTTATTATTTTACTGTGAGCATTACTTCTTATTCGCTTATTGATTTCACTCGACATGCTTTTCGAAACGTTTAACCTCATTCCAGCATTTTTATCGGAGGCCATCAGAGGACGAAACACGTAAATGTGGCGCACCAATCACAACCAGATGGTTTGTGGGCTGACTTGAGAAATCAGGATGCTGCAATCCCACCTCTAAGAGCTCTTGAGTTCGCCAAAAAGATGATTAAAATAACTTTTTCTTCCACTGGAGTAGTGCGATCAAAGTTATCGGAATCCCATAAACAAATTCCGCAGATCCGTTTCCTGGGAGATAGAGCAGTTCGCTGGAACGTCCCGATCATTATTTTGTGGTAAAGATTATAATGATACGTCCTGCCGTGTTGCGAAGACCAGAGTGCGGAAGTGAGATCTAACGAAAGCATTACGAACGAGAGGAAATAGCTTCCCAAAATCATACACACTCATCACAAATTCCTGTTCAATAGCAGGTTGTTTCTCATCTAAGTCGGCTACATTCATGTGTGATAGGTCTGTGCTCTGGGGAGTAACGCATATTCCGACAACCAATCCTTGAGTTTCGGTGGCTACAACGCTCATATAAAGCACCTGCAGGATCGCAGACGAGGGACCAGCAGGCGAATCCGTCTGTGAGCTTTTTCCGTAGAGGATTTCGGATTATACGGAGAAGCGGAAGATGGAAGTAAAGGTGGTTCAGTCCGTACGCTAAATCGAGCCAATTTTAGGTTGCACCTGACGACTCGCCATAGGCCCGAGGAAGCCTGATCTTATGGAGGATTCTGACCTACGCCGTATGTTATCAAACGCTATCGATGCCATGTTCCACCTAGTAGGACACGGTAAGCGCGAGGTGTGAACCCACACCTGCCCGAGATAGGTGAAGATGAGTGGGCGTAAACCATCTCCACATTCACCGGGATCAAATTTTCCAAGAACCAGGTGAATTAGCTCATCAGACGAACCTGTGGGAGATAGCCTAAGTGGTTCGAGCGCGAATTTCCTGACCGGAAGGTCCTTGGTTCGAACCTGATCTCTGCCACTCGACTTCCCCTGTCTAGGCTTGGGCAACTTGGCAGTATCCCAACCCTCGAGCTTCCTTCGGGTAGCATGGCAGCTAGGCACCGGAAGGGTGCTACAGCTGAACGTTGTTTTTGTCCCAATCTCCAGCTGTAGCCAGCGTCTTGGTGTATCTGGTTTGCAAC